TTAGTCCAATTTGTTTAGTAGTTATTTTATGTTCCAATCTCATTGTCTTTCACCATTAAGTCAATAACAATATTGATAGACCTTGAAATGGCTTTAAAATCTGGTGTCCCATTGACAATATTCAATTTGTGCTGCTTAAATTCAACTTCTTATGATCAAAATGGTAGATGGTGAGTTGATGAAAATAAGTTAAACCACTTGGCTGTGTCTACATTGGCATCCCTTTCTAGAAAAGGGATGCTAATGAGACACTTCGGAATTGCAAATCCGCAGGGGATTTAAATATCCCCCGCGGCATTTGCATTTACATGGCTGCCACTTTTTTCCGGCTCGGGGTTTTTGCCGGAGAAAAGCGCCAGTCTAGACGCGATTTTCCGGAAAATAAGCCCTTTTCCGGAGGATCCCTTATTCCTACTTTCAAAAATAAGGGATCCTCTGGAAAAGGGCTTATTTTCTGGAAAATCGCGTCTAGACTGGCGCTTTTCTCCGGCAAAAACCCCGAGCCGGAAAAAAGTGGCAGCCATGTAAATGCAAATGCCGCGGGGGATATTTAAATCCCCTGCGGATTTGCAATTCCGAAGTGTCTCATTAGCATCCCTTTTCTGGAAAGGGATGCCAATGTAGATACAGCCCTTGTGAGTGAACAGCAAAAGGTTTAGAGCATGGTGGGGAACCTTTTTTTGGATAGGGGGCTGCTGACCCACAGAAAAACCAGTCGCACACAAGTGTGATGGCAAAAAAAACCAACAACAACAAAACCCAAAACCTGTGTCTGACATCGGAAAGGAGAAAGACACCTCTGACATCCCCCTTGTACACCAGAGCCTATGAGGGCCCAGGCAAGTAGACTTCATTTGCTCCAGCCCCGTGGTGGGGCGGCAGTGGCAAGAAAAGTCTCCCTGAACCCCACCCTTTACTCCACATGTAGTTTTGAATGAAACCTCTACACTTCTCATGATTATATGAAAATGAGGAGGGGAGTTTATCAAGCCTTTTATTTTCAATCAATGTTCAAGTAGGATTGATTTGGTTACAATTTGAGATTTAGGTAAAAGTTTGGACTAGAATTTATTTCAACCTAACTCAATCACCAATTCTTCATTTTATCTACCAACAAATGTTTTTGATAAGCTTTTAGCTTAATAAAAATGGGAACATTTCTATATATTTTGTCAATTTGGGGATTTTTCTATTGAAAGGATTGTAACTCTTTCCAATGGTACTCAAAGTATCATGACAGGCAAAGAATATAATTTTTTAAAATTACCTTTAACATTAGCTATTTCCATTACAGAGTTCCAACTGTAGCAGTTACTTTAACCTAGATGAGAAATTGATAATCAATAATGACCAAAAGATGCAAAAAGAGTTTCAGAAGCTGGGAGATGAACGATCCGTAATAATGGTCACTGGAGATCTGTCTTCTTACTCATCTAACCTTTTATTCCATGTTAATTTCTCTACTCTTCTGACCACTAGTTCTCACAGTGAAGTCAGCCCTGTTGTTAAATACTATCCTTAACTTTTTGAAGTAGATTTTGGAAACTAGGTACTGTACATGTATTAAACTGCAGTGAGGTGCTCCATTTGAAATGTTGAGTTCTCTAGTGGAGAAGATTTGGGTGAGCTTCCTAAAGCCTTAGGAGCATGACACTACCTACCCCACACCTAATTGGGTTAATTGTCTCTATTAATTCCAATCCAATCTGTCTTTGTGAAATGCTTTCACAGAAATCCTTGAGGCCCAAATCAGTGTTGGCTTATAATTGGTAGAGCCTCATATCTTTGTCCAGAAAGGAAAGGGAATTTTACTTCAGGACAGGATAGATACATCATCTGAGCAAGATCGTATATTACTTATTAGAACATGCCACATAGCAACCTATTCAATCTTCTTTATATTGATTTGGAGTCCACATGTCTTTAAATCACAATTTGAGGTCTTCAGTAACTCAACTAGGAGTCTTTTAAAGGAGTGGGTGGAAGAGGTTCGGCCTTCAATGTGTTGGAGGTCAAACTAGATGATGATGAGTCTGAGATTTTTTACAATAATTTGTTAGATGTACTATCAAAATCAAGTATCTAACAACAATACATCTAATCAAGAACAGGAACAGATTATATAAAGGACATCGGGCTAGGTTGCTTACCTGACCCCCTGAAATTTCCTGCATTTGTTATTCAGAATGCTGAATTTTGTGCTTTTTGTTCTTAAGACATAATTGTCTTTTTTAGCTTAGGTTATGTTGGGTCAGGACACATCAGGTTTGGAGTATGTGTGGACAGAACTGTTAGAGACTATTTTATTGCTTTAGATACTCTGTTGGAATTCGATGGCTTGTGTTTCCGAGTCTTTTAATGAGTTCCCAACAGCATGGTTTTCTGCTTTCATGCTCTAAAATATAACATCAACTGGAATGCTAAGTGTTTAAAAATGTAGGGGGCAGAACTAGTGTTCCCTCTAAGTGGTGCAGCAGCACAGCTTCACAGGTGATTAATCAGTCCTGTCCAGTCAGTCAACTCCCTGCATGTACTCCAAGGCTCTGACTGGGCGGGGCTGATAAATTACCTGTGAAGCTGTGCTGCTGCACAGCTTAGAGGGAACACAGGGCAGAACCTCAGATGGTGCAAGCTGTCATAGCTTCACTGATATCAGTAGACATATTGCAGTTATCACCAGTTGAGGCTACTGAAAGCTAGAAAGTATGGGTGATAACTTCCTGTGCAGAAGGAGAGTGTGAGGTCTGTGTACCCCTTACATGCCAGTGAAGCCCTATTTTCAAGAAGTATTTATGTGGTGGATAGGGCTTGTGCTGGCCTTCCACACAGGGTTAGATTTCATCTAATGATCTTGCTTTGATAGCGGCCTTTCCGATGGAGCCTAAGACAGCTTTTCTCTCTGATAGAGGGGATGTGATGAAAGATCACATAGAAACTGTCAGCTATTTTGATTTTCAGAAAAGACAATATTTATATTAGGTAAAAAAATCGAAATGTTGACAATATTCTGGAAAATTGTTGGATTGTTTTGGTAAGATTAAAAAAAATCTTTTTTCATACCCTTGATCCACAATGTTCTTTACAGTAAAATATATTAAAAGACAGGCCTGGCAAACTAATGATATCAAAAATAAAATAAAACTTCTCCTTGGATGAACATCTAACGCTCCTTAAGTCCCAAATGGACTTTATGTAGTCTGTTCTTATTCTTGATGGGACATATTGTTGTCTTGACTTCGCTAATACATCCAACAAATGACTATAACAATCTCATAGACTCATGATTATTTAGTCATTTGAAAGTCACCAAATCTCTTCCACCCATCCCAGTAATAGACCCCCTAGCCTCTGGATGAGTTACTGAAGTCCCCAAATCCTTATTTAAGGAAAGGTGGACCCAGCTGATGAACCTGACCATTCTTGGTTTTCAGACTTGAAAGAGTGCATGCCAACTATGATTTCAGGTACTTAGAGAATGGGTGATCAGGTGGCACTGTTTCTGTTTCCTGACTGGTTGACTGAAACATAAACAAAAAGAAGGAAAACAAAGCAATGCAAAGATGGCTGCATGGACAGTTTTGGCCCAAACTAATTCACATGACTATTCATCAAATTTTGCTTGTCATCAATGCTTTTGCAAACTAAGAAAACAATTTATAGAAAAATGAATATTCAGGGTATTGAACCCCATTAAGGCAAACTGGGCTTTTTAATGTTAGCTCTCATCTCCCCCAACTCTGTCTCTACTCAGTATTCTCTGATCTCCTATAGGAAATATTTTTCTCCGCTTACCATATATTTCTTAAGATTTCAATGAGCAGTTAGTCCCTGCCCCCCTTAGGCCCAGCTATACTATTTTAAACTGAAAAATGAAGATTCTCCTGTCTTTCCTGACCAGAACCCCAGCTATAACATGATGCAGAAAATGAATCATTTGTCCCAGATGCAATTTTTCTGGTTTTCCTTTTTGTTTTTAGCTTCCTTAAGACTGACAACTGGAAGACTTTATATCATGCTTCTGATACTTTTAAGACCAATATTAATATATCAGTGAAGTCTCTCAACTATGCTTCTTTTCTCTTTGGCTATATTATTGAACTTTCTAGATCTGTTTCTCCTTTGATCTTATTTTTGGGCAACCTTTCTTGAGCTCTATTATAGTGAGCAAGGTCAGTTCTTGCCAAGTTGGCCATTTTTAAGACCGCAAAAGAGATGTTTATTATGAATCTGTTGTCTGTAAGTCCTCACTTTAATTATGTACCCTGCAAAACTCTCATTGGGATAATGCAGGATTCTCTGGACCACTAATAAATAAGACATTTTTGTTTTAAGTTTCATTAATTGTAACACAAATCTTGAATTAGCCTATTACAACTATGTAGTTCACAGTATTGATTCTAGTTATTGTATTTTAATGTTTCAATTTTGTGACTGGTCTTCACATAATGAAAGGCAAAGTAGAAGCACAGATTGGTTTAGTTAGTGAGGCTGTAATTTACAGTTTTACTAAAAGACCAAAAAAAAATCAGTTCCTACAGTAAAGAAACACTTCAGAGCCTACATTGCATTGGAAGCATTAGAAACATAGTTTACTATTTTATTGAGAATCTCAGTAAATTATTTCACATGATTCTGTGTCTAAGCTATGACCTTCTAAAAGTGCCACCCTCTACTACTTGTCAACACATTAGTCATATAAAATTAAGCTGATGCCAAACGGATATCAACTACAGAAATGTATAATATTCTACTATGTTCTTCTATTGGTCTTGTTCCCCCCCCCCCTGCTATGGATACTTTCTGCTGCTTTAAGACTGCAGAGGGCTAAAATTGACAGAAGCTTGTGATAGGGTTAATACTTTCCTCTGTTCTGCTCAGAGGCAGAGAAGGTTAGCAGAGGGATCAATGTGATTAAAGCTGAAGGAGAGGAAAGATGTGCCTGTCTGCTTGCTTGCTGCCTGGATGTGGTGGTTGAAGGGTGGTGTATATGTAACCTGGTTTCTGCAGATCTGGGCTGGATAGTACCAGGGATGATCTTGTGCTTGCATTGGAAGATTTTTTCACCTGCGGATCTGCCTCTGCAAACCTGCTGGTGTCTCCCTGAGCTAACGACACACCTGGGCTTAAAGCACCCGCCTCCTCTTTTTCCTCTAGCTGCATCTTTCTGAAACAGAAAGCCAGCAAGCAAGTGTCAGTGGAGAACAGAAGCTAAAGGAGAGACAGATCACTTGCTTTAAGGACAATCAGACACATTCACGCAATCTCCAAGCAGCTACACACGGCTACCAGCAAAATAAGCTGGACTGATCTTCTCTCATAGCTTGCAGCTTTAACCTTGCAGTTGACAAACAGGGAAACAGAAAGCAAGGAAAAGAGTGGAAAGCTAAGCACATAGCTGGGAGGCTAGGAAGGAGCAGGGGCATGTGGATATTGGCTATCTTCTTGTTCCAGAGCATCTTGAATGGTGAGCAATATAATCATTTAGTTTGTGATTCATTTAATTTCAGCTAATTGGGAAGGGTGTCAAAGGGAATTGGATTTTTTTTTATCTTTTGTGTTTAAAGCATCGCAGTGGTTGTTAGCAGCTGTGGGGAGAAGGAAGAAATTGCTCTGTAATCATTTAAACTAGCTTACCTAGCAAAGTAAGTGCCCATAACCTAAGTGTGTTACTATATATCTTCCTCATTCAAAATAAAACTGTGCTTGATGAAATAGGGATAGATGCAATTTTTCTTTTTTGGCTGAAAATAATACAGAATTTTGCCAAGCTGAGCATCAATCTGTAAGAGCATACTGAGTGAATTTGAAGGTCTTGTACATTAAGCTTTTGGTTTTTGATTTTTTTGTCATGTTTTTATATATCAGTGCTTAAATAATCACATGATTTGACCAAAGTAATACAGGCTTTTTATTTAAGGAAAAATAATTTGAATTTTTCTTTTGCCATCATTTCTCTGAGAAGGTACCTGCTATGTGTTCAACACACTCATTTATGTAAAAATATGCACTCATAAGCATTACATCATCTAAAAAAGGTTGAAGACTCAGTGAAAGTTATGAAGGGAAAATAATCATGGGAAAACAATAAAGAAAAATCTTGTTTATGTACTCCCTTGCAACAGATAAATGTTTCCACAGTTTTTAATGTTATTAATACAGGTGAGGATTTACATATTTAATACTTAGACTTACATATGGTCAAAGACTATGTATCATCCTAAAATGCATATTGAATTCTACAACAGGTAAAATGCTCATAAATGTAGTATCTTACAGGATAGAAAACAGATCATGCTGTATACTGTGATGCTAGTTTATCCTATTATTTTGTCTTTCTATTTTCAAATTTGAGCACATAACACTGCCTAAAATTCATTTTACACTGATGGTTGAACTGTAAAGCTTTAGCACACAATTTTCAAAATAGGCACGGCAGATAGAATAGGAAAATGTTTCAAGAATGAATGAATGAATGAGGGAGAAGCACAGGGTAAAGTGTAATTTTTTCCCTTGGAAGATACAAATAGAACTGAAGCCCCAAGCAAAGGGTGACAAATGAATGCTGGATGAGGGTGCTTTCACATTAGCTTAGGTATATACTAGATGAGAAAATACATTGACAGTCAAAGCAAATCCAGTATGAATATATAGAAATATCATAAAATTAAGGCAATAAAATATGAATCGGGAAGGAAGGAAGATAAAGAAGGAAGCAAGATGTATCTAGGTATATCTTTAAAATGTTTTGGTGCATAAGATACTGTATAATGCAATATGACCAAAATAACTCCCAAACTTTTTATTTTGAATTCCTTCTAGCTGTGAAGACATTGAAATAACTAGCATTAAGAATGTATTTATTTATTTTGTCAGATGGCATTGTAGTCATATACCTTAGAGATGAGATTTGCTTTCAATAACACGGGAAGGATCATTGTGAAAGTATATTCGCTGATCAGGTCTATTCAGTTAAACAAGGATTTGCATAGAAAATTAGAACTGCAACATCTGTGTCCAAAAATTGTGTCTTTGACAAACAGATATATATGTACCCTGTGCACACATCAATTCACAGCAGTTTAAATAGCAGGCTTTGAAGGTAGGCTACCTGAAAAAATAAATAAAAATCTGCAATTCTGAAGAGCAATACATTATTTTTGTTTTCCTTTTAAGACTAAAATTGTATGAGAAACAGTTTCTGTCATTTACTCACGTAGACTGCAGCAATTTCTCAGTTTCAACGTTCAGAAATTTGGACCAAAATTAAACAGAAAAAAAATTCAGAATACATAACACTCTAAATAGAAAAGATAAGTGCATTTTCCCAGATTTTATGCTGATCTACATATCTATGTATATGTGGTTGTTCATACATGGTATGTACACACCACAATTTTTTAAATTTTACAACATTAGAAATATCTAATGGATGGTTCTGTGAATATTTATTAACTTTAAGATGGTTTAAAACGGATATTTTGACATTAATTTTCAATGATAAAGTAGATGTAAGAAACTAATCTCTCTCTCTCTCTCTCTTTCTGTATGCAGTTTCTTATATGTACCCACACAGAGTATGTAAACAAACATAAAATCTGGGAAGGCAATACTTCTGCATTTAGGGGAGCTAAGGATAAATATAAAATAATACATATGATAAGTGTTTCCTGAGGTAGTGTCTGGCTATATGTAAAACATCAAACTTCATTGTTACAGTGTTTTTAGTAATACTGTTGAAATTACAATACACTCTTCATGTGACCATGGCACAAAATTGGTGATATTTTGAAAATGATGAATACTTCTGTGTTTGAAGGAAAGTACAGTGTACACAAATGCATATGCTATATTTACATTTACGTGAATTGGTCTGCCTCAAGGTAGATAATATTATAGAATATGTGGCACTCTTTTATGATACTGTATAAAAATTAACTATTGAAGCTTGACTTGTTATTGCTGTTACTGACCTTCCTTTCAGAAGTCCCCTGGGAACTGTACTATATCTACTTTCAACACACATGCACTCTTGCCACACACATGTATGTGCATCTAATTATGTTCTAGATATATTATAAAATTAAATAAAAATCTAGTATCACAATTAACACTATTCATTTTAATTCCTTTTCTTACCTTTTTTGTTTAACACACATAGGGCCCAATCCTGAAATCTTTCTATATGACAAAATTTCTATTGGAGAGTCCATGAATTGGCCCCCTCTTGTCTTTCTATAATTTCTCAGCACAAATATCTCATCACAATACATGGCACCTTCACTAGATGGACTTACTGTGTGCAAAATATCTTACTTATCAGTGCTATAGAGTATTAGTCCACTTCACTATCAAAATAATAGGACTCTGAAACACAATTTCCAAATATTAAGTGTATTTTTATTGAAACCACTGATTCTATTTATGTAATACTCTTGGATTCTTAAAACCCGGGTAAAATATTATTAACCATAAATACAGGTCCATTGGAGAAGATGGAGGTACACTTTCAAAACAGTGACTTACGCTGCACAGCTCCAGCTGATAAGGACAATGATGGAGTTACAACTTGGAGCAACACACTGAGAATTTACCTCTTGTATTAGAATATGCTAGATGCAACATTTAAATGATTGTTATAAGTGTAAAAATCCATTTTAGTTCAGTCCCAATGAGTGTAGGCATACTTTATTGATTGATTCATGGAAAAATCATAAAGGTCAAACCTTTTTTTTAACATATCTCAGAATGCCTGTACCCATGTGATACACTAGCTTATTTTAAATTTATAGTTAAACATATTATTGCTCTGCATATTCAAATGTCAGTGTTTCTTGGTAACATTTCAACATGTTGACATAAATATGCTGAAACCATTTCCAGGCTTCTCTTCCACTGCAATTCTTGTTTGCCTGTGGTCCATTGATCTTTGAAATCAGTGGATCACCAGGATGTACCCAATACAATACAGCTGACACTACAAATAAATTATCTTTAAAATGATTTCCATTTTATATTCAGAATGAATGAATCTCAGGGTGCACATGTCCATCTTTGATCTATCAAAGGAGTTTTACTAGCATATCCGACTGGATGCAGGACAAGAGCCAGACTGTAAACTGGGTTGGGGGCTGAGTGAACAGACAGAAAATATAATAAGGTACAAGAGGAATAATACTAGGAGCTCTTGCCACAAGAAATAATGCTCAGTATTGCTAGAAACAAACCAGAAGGCTATCATTTTTACTGGGATAAATGGGACTTGTGCCCCCATGGAAGGATTTTTTTTAAATAGCTGTGACACCAAAATATACTTTGAGTAGCCAAAACTTTGCTTTCAGGTAGTAAAATACTTTGTGTTGATATACAGTCATTGACATGTCTGTGGATAGCTCAATCTTACTGATTCATTTTGACCTTGTTACTTCTGAGGCTTTTAATTCTTTTCTTTCACTGAGTATTAGTTGGTCACTGAGTGATTAGAATGAAATTTACATTAACTAGACAGCTAGACAGAGTGCAACAGAAATCTATTCCTACACATCAAGAGAGATCTCATTTCTCTTTTTAGTGATATTCCAGAGTATGGCAATTACTGAACTTTTAAGAATTCCTGACCAGCTTCACCAAACATAAACTAAGATCTATGATGACATGCTGCCTGCATGTTAGTGTGTCAGTGTCACAGGACACTAGTGGGCAGCAAACCACACAAGACTGGCAACACTTCAAAACAGTGTGAATAAACAGTCACTGAAAGGAGGATTTGAAGGTAGGCTGCCTTGCAGAGTCACTATCCCTTTTAATTTGCAGAGCTCACTGTTCTGTTTTCTTTTTCTCCTGGGAGCATTGAATAACAATTATTAATGACAAGAAGACTACAGGCGACATTTGTATTAAAGTTGAAAATAAGGTTGATTTCCACAAATAGCAAGAAGGTGTAGTGAGAGACTGGGGCTTGATTTAGCATACACTGAAGACAATGGTAAACCCCCCTTCACTTCAGTGATGCAGCAGCAGGCTTTTTGGGTATTAAAGGTCAGAGGAACTGGTGAGTGGGAAAACTAATGGATAGCCTGAGGCTGGTTGATTGATTTTAACCTGCCTACACTCAGCAGTTCCACACTGTATTGAATTATGTCATTTACAGAGGTAGCATTCAACTCCCCACACCATCATACATCAGGTCTTTTCTTTAATTGAAGCTAATGGGTGCTCAGCATTTTTGAAAATCAGACTCTCTATTTAGGTGCCTGAATTATGGACTTGGGAGCTTAATTTTATGGCTCCTTTTTGAAAATCTTGGTTTAAGCCTTTCTCAGCACCCCAAAGCTCAGGAAGGTGAGCCATAAATTATTCTCTAGATTGTTACAAAAGGTGTCTCTAGCAGGGCCAGGAATACAGGGCATGATTTTCAAGATGTTTGCAAAACAGTGTTATAAATGATCTGATACAACAGGGATGGAC